TTGTCATCCCAGTACTTTGGGAGGCCGAGGGGGGTGGATCACCTGAGGTCAGAAGTTCGAGACCAGCCTGGCCAACATGGCAAAATCCCATCTCTACTAAAATACAAAACTTAGCCAGGCGTGGTGGTACGCGCCTGTAATCCCAGCTACTCTGGAGGCTGAGGCAGGAGAATCACTTGAACCTGGGAGGTGGAGGTTGCAGCGAGTCGAGATTACGCCACTACACTCCAACCTGGGCGACAAAGAGAGACTCCCTTTCAAAAAAAAAAGTTTGGAAGTTGCTGTTCTATGTCAACTCTCAAGTTTCCAGATAGAAACTAAGGCCTGGAGGGTAGAAGTAACTTCCTTTTTTTTTTTTTTTTGAGACAGAGTCTCGCTCTGTCACCCAGGTTGGAGTGTAGTGGCGCGATATCAGCTCACTGCAACCTCCATCTCCCGGGTTCAAGCAATTCTCCTGCCTCAGCCTCCTGAGTAGCTGGGGTTACAGGCATCCACCATCACACCCAGCTAATTTTTGCATTTTTAGTAGAGACAGGGTTTCACCATGTTGGTCAGGCTGGTCTCAAACCCCTGACCTCGTGACCCACCCACCTCAGGCTCCCAAAGCACTGGGATTACAGGTGTGAGCCACCGTGCCCAGCCAGGTAGAAGTAACTTCCTAAGGGTCATAGAGGTCATGATTGACAGGCTTGGAAGAGGTAGCAGGTCCCTAGACTCGAGGCTTGGAGCTCTTTCCACACTTTCACAATGGCCGCCTGGGAAACCAGAGCTTCTGCCTCCTATGCTTTTATGTCATTCGTGAGGATTTCTTAGCTATAGGCTAGGGAAATCTGGAAGCACAACTCTCCCACGGTTTTCCATCTCTTCCCTCTCACTTCACACTTCTCTGAGGCAACTGCCAATGTCTGGCTGCCTTGACAAATGACGACGGATGCTCCCACGTTAGCTGTTGAAAACAGTGGGTGACCAAGCAGGTGTAAATCAAATAGTGCAGAATTCTGATAATTGGACGACAAGGGAGATAGTGAACGAATTCCCCACTAAGGAGAGGATAACGTTTATTCGTAATGTGTCTTCCCAAAAGTGAAATAAAATTACACAGGGACAAAACTAAATTATAGGAACTTTTAAAAAGGCACATTTATCTTGGGGAATCAATAAACTCTTGGTGTTTCAGTCTTATGAATATTCCAATTATTTTTAACACATATTTTTTCTTTTTTAAAAAATATATTTTTTGAGATAGAGTCTTGCTCTTTCATCCAAGCTGGAGTGCAATAGTGTGGTCTTGGCTCACTGCAACCTCCGCCTCCCAGGCTCAGGTGACACTCCTGCCTCAGCCACCTGAGTAGCTGGGACAACAGCTGTGTGCCACCACGCCCAGCTAATTTTTAAATTTTTTGTAGAGACGGGGTCTCATTATGTTGCCCAGGTTGGTCTCAAACTTCTGAGCTCAGGCAATCCACCCGCCTCAGCCTCCCAAAGTGCTAGGATGGCAGGTGTGAGCCACCGCGCCCAGCCGAGTTCTCCGATCATTATTATGGCAGTATATATTCTCTATATCCTCTTGGAATGATGTTACAACTTTGTACTCTGTCCACCCTGTCAAAGGTAAAGGGAGACTTTACCAGGAGTCTTAATTTGCAAGGGGCCAAACCTCTTTCACCTATTAGGGTTTGTCAGTGTGATGTGATGCTAAAAACAGTCCTTTGGTTGACTTGTGGGTAATTGATTCTCTGACGCTGACGACGCTTAGGAAAATGAAGGGATAAATGATGGGGACGCCAGGCGGCTGCCGGAGCCAACACCCAGCTCAGGGCCCGTGGACTGGAGCAGTGCCTCGGAGCAGGGGGAGATCTGCCGCATCAGGTGAGAGGGGTGGCCCTTGGGGGCTGGGCTGGTTGGGGGCAAGAAAAGTTAACCTTCTCACCAACTCAGAAACACTGAGTCCAAGAGGCCCACCACCATCCTCTTTACCCATGGACGGGTGAGTACATCTGAGCCCCTCTCTGGATAAAACCACCCCTCAATAGAGGCTCTGGAATAGGCTTTTGATGGTGCTGTTTGGGGCTTCTCTTAACTTGGGCGCGTGGCGGACTGGCTCCAGGTGTCTGTCGCAGGCGTTGAGGTCTCAGTGCTCCTTCAAGGGTGCGTGGGCAGGCTTCGGGGGCAAATGTGAGTTGGCTCGATTTTCCTGTCAGCGATGGGATTCTGCCATGGATCAGAGATGAGCCAAGTGGCTGTGCAAATCAATACTGCTCATTGATCACTCAGAACTGATTCAGTGTAATTGCTGGGAAATTGATAACATTTTGCTTTCTTGCTCAATTGCAGCCGCACTCTTTACTCCAGGTTTTAGACACAATTATCTGCCCTTGGAGTTCTCCGCTACCCCACGCCTGTCTCCTGATCCTTGCTTTAATGATCCTGAAGTATTTGTGTCTTTCACCATAGACCGCCTCAAACCCCTTCTGGAATGAGCTGGAGTATCACTCTTTTGAATGACAGTTCAAGATGCTTCCTCATTAAAAACTTAGATTTCTTTTAACTTAGAGTGCTGTCGGTGAAACAGTTTATAAACCAGATCAGGATGTCGATGCTTTGGGGTGCTCAAATTTCAAAGGGGAATGTTCAAGGAAAGTTAAAGATGTTCTTTCCCTGGGTTTTCAAAAATACCCTTGCGAATTTGGGTGCTTGGGACCTGACCTCTGTCGTTAGCTGCAGGTGAATCTGCAGAATTCTCCTGACATTCCTGACATGAAGGCTGGCAAAAGGTGCCAACGGATGTAGATTAAGTGCCTGTTTATCCTGAATCCAGGCAATCTCAAGTACATCTAATCACAGAATCAGTAAGCACTGCAGGAAGCTAACCAATGATCATGATAGATTATAAACTCTGGAGTGCCTTCAGTCATCAGCGTTGTCAGCAATGCTGTTGGGCTTGGCTACACTTCATTCGGTGAATTTTGACTCCTTAAGTTGTCATGTGGAATATGTCTGTTGACAGCTATTTTATTTTATTCTTTGAGATAAGGTCTTGCTCTGGCACTTAGGCTACAGTGCAGTGACACTATCATGGATCACTGCAGACTTAACCTCTTGTGCTCAAGCAATCCTCCCATATCAGCCTCCAGAGTAGCTGGGACTACAGGCATGTGCCACCATGCCTAGATAATTTATTTTATTTCATTTTTTGTAGAGATGGGGTCTCGCTATGTTGCTCAGGCTGGAGCTTTTTTATCCTTAGTGACATAACCTCTATTCTTATCTTACCCTACACTGGGTAATTCTTGTTGTTTCCCATTTTCATCCAGTGGGATCTGCAAACCCATGGATTAGGTTCTCATAGCTCAGAGGTTGCCATGGTGTCTTGACCTATGCCTGGGGCACAGGATTTGTGGCAAATGTTGAGCCCCTTGGTTAGCCTGTGCAGTTACTGAGCCTTATCTTGAATGAGCGGGGTATTATCATGTTTACTGTGACTTGCCCTCGCCATCAAAGTCAGCCCTTCTATAAGGTTATTTTCAACTCCTTGAAACTACCGGGTGTGCATAGGGAGGGGCCGGTCAAGCAGGTGTTCCTGTCTGTCTCCATTCTTTCTTCCCCAGAGGCCCAACGACAAAGAGCAAGAAGTTTTCCTTTTTTTCAGACCCTTTCCCACGTGCGGGCGATGGAGGCTGAGGCCCCTTGTGAACGGGGAATGCTGTGAATAGAGCATTGTACCTGGGAAGCTGCTGCATGGAGCGGGAGGAAGTCTGCTGGCCTGGGAATGGGGAGGCCCATTCTGAAGTGCCCACTCCAAAACTAATTTGATGGAGGACCATGGAAAAGGTCCTTGTCCCCTCTGGGCTCTTTTCCTCAGCTGTAAGAGGAGCACGGGGATGCCTGCTCCAGAGGGAGAGTGCAAGGGTGGGTTGTAGAGCCCGGTAGGGCACAGGGGCTGGGAATCCCTTGTGCCAGTCCTTGGGAGAAGGGGCAGGAGCTCAGGAGGCAGAGGGAAAGCTTAAGTCAAGACAAGGGGTTTGAGCTTTATTCTGGAGGGAGTGGGGAGCCAGGGGCTTCTGAGCAGGGGAGGGAGGTGATCGGGGACCCAGATCTGCCTGAATCTTTAAACATCAGCAGCAAAGAAGGCAAGAAAGCCAGGCCGCAGCGGAGAGGCAGGAAAGGCAGTGGTTTCTGTCAAGGGGCGCTGCTTGTGTCCAAAGGTCTCCCAGCTTAGGAAATTCCACTTCTGGAGAGGCAGCCTGGACCAGGTGGGGAGAAGGGGGACCAGACATGGTATGGTGCGATGAGGAGGACGGAAGGCTGCCGAGCCTTGGTCTGAGGAACAAAGGCTTAAGTCAGATGCGAGACGTATCTAAAGGGCTGGTCGTTTGGCTGCAGGTGCAGAGGCTCTGGCCCAGCAGGCGGAAGTTACACAGCCAGCCCTCGGGGCAGATCCCATGTTCTCATCTTTTCTCTAGCCCCAGTCCTTACCGGAACAGTAGAGGCTTAACGAATATTTGCAGAAGAAGGAGATTTGGGCTTGACATGATGAGACAAACTTCCTAACAATAAGAACTGCCTGGGCCGGGCATGGTGGCTCATGCCTGTAATCCCAACACATTGTGAGGCTGAGGCGGGGGGATTGCTTAAGCCCGGGGGTTTGAAACCAGCCTCGGCAATATCATGAGACTTTATCTTTACAGAAAATTTCAAAATTAGCTGGGCATGATGGCACATGCCTGCAGTCCCGGCTACTCAGGAGGCTGAGGCAGGAGGATTGCTTGAGGCCAGGAGTTTGAGGCCATGATTGCACCACTCTATCTCAGCCTGGGCCACAGAGTGAGACCCTGTCTCAAAATAAATAAATAAAGAACCACTTGGAAGTAAGCCCCAGGGCTGGGGGTAGTGAGCTCCCTGTCATTCACTGGCAGCCAGTGCTCACTCGAGCAGAGCAGGAAGTGGAGGACGGCCAGTGTGCGCTCGGGGCGGGGTAGGGGAGTGGGGATGCTTGTGTCAGGGAGGGAGGGACTGACCGCTGAGGCCTGGGCTGCTGCTCCCTCCAGCTCTGCAGGCACAGGGTCTCAGGTTGCAATGAGCGGTCCCTGAGAGTGCTGCCTGGGGGCCCAAGGCATCCCTGGGTTAGAGGAGATTTCAGTGCCTTCGGAAAGGAGGGCGATACCCTGAGAGGGCCGGGAGAACAAGCTGGGTTCTGCCAGCGCTGGCCCTGCCTGCCGGAACTCCTCAGCAGGACCCAGGAGCGGGAGGGAAGGAAGCCATGTCGGGAGATCGTGGGAAAGGCGGGGGTGCTGGCCATCTCCGGGGCCGGCTGGGCCCCTGGATGGATCTACACCCCCATGGAGGAGACATCCTGCTGAGAGGGAGAAACCCATGGAGATGGGAGGACCGAATTCCTAGGGGGCCAAGTCGCCCGATGGCAGCCGTGTTTCCACGCTCAGGCAGGTCTGGGCCGACACAGTGGCACTTGCACAGGGGCGGGCTCTGTCCCCTGCTGGCTGTTCTTCCCCTAATTGCAGAGCATGGTGTCCGCAGGCCCCAATTAAGGGTAGTTACAGGACCTATGGGACGACTGTGCCACGCTGGCTCCCCCGGCTCTTCGGTCTCTTCCAGGACTAAAACCCTTCAGCGAAATCTAAGCGTCTGGAGCAAGACTTAGAGCCCTTCTCCCCTCTCTCCAACTCCAAACAAAATTAAAACAGGAAGAGCCTGCCCTCTCAGAGGGTCAGTCTTAGGTAGCCACAGCAAAGGTTTCTAGAGAATTCCCTATTGGTTCAGGCACCTCACCTCACCAGATCCTTACAGGAGCCAAAGGAGGAGGTCTAGTTACCATCTCGGTTTTATGGCCAGGGAAAATAAGGCTCAGAGAGGGGAAGCCACTTGTCCTGGGACACACAGCTAATGACAGCTGAGCTAGGATTTGAATTTCCAGTTTGTCTGACTCAGAGTGGAGCAGTTGCCCTTGCTGCCTGCCGTCACTGCCACACTGGATGGGGTTGAATGAGGGGGCATTGAGAGAAGGTTCTTTGACCTTCCCCATTCCTTGCTAAGGGATCCCATTTTATTTTATTTATTTAATTTTTTTTTTTTTTTTTTTTTTGAAACAGGGTCTCACTTTGTCACCCAGCGTGGAGTGCATGGCATGATCTTGGCTCACTGCAACCTGCGCCTCCCGGGTTCAAGGGATTCTCATGCCTCAGCCTCCCGAGTAGCTGGGATTACAGGCACATGCCACCACTCCTGTCTTATTTTTGTAATTTTAGTAGAGACAGGGTTTCACCAGGTTGGCCAGGCTGGTCTCAAACTCCTGGCCTCAGGTGATCCGCCCACCTCAGCCTCCCAAAGTGCTGGGATTATAGGCATGAGCCACCGTGCCTGGCCCCAAATCCCACTTCTAATGCCTTATGGCAAGGGGAAATTTCTCTACCGTCACTGGTTTTCAGTTCAACCCTATGTGGTTGGCAGGGTAGCTCCATCATACCCATTCTACAGATGAAGAAAGTGAAGTCAGAGAGGGTGGCTGGCAGAGGCAGAATGTGAACCCGGGTCTGTCTGACTTCCAGAGTCCGAATTCTTTTTCCCATCCCACAGTTTCCAAAAATCAAGAACCAAGGCTTGCCATGGAGTCAAGCCCAGGGCTGGGCCAGTAAAGGCCATCCCGATGGCTGTGGCTACACCTGACCTTCCTCTCCTGTCACTCTGCAGGTGCCAGCCCCAGGTGAAGGATGCCACTCTGGGTGTTCTTCTTTGTGATCCTCACCCTCAGCAGCAGCTCCCACTGCTCCCCACCTCCCCCTTTGACTCTCAGGTAAGCAGCCCCTGGGGAAAGTTCCCACCACTCCCAAGCCATCCCTGCCATGGGGCAGGCGTTAGTGAATGCAGACTCAGCCCATTAGCTGGGCCCCGGCTATGTCTCCAGGCAGCACCCACTGCCCGTCCTTGCAGAGGAGGCAGACACAGCTTCACAGAGGTCACTCAGAGGGGTCTGAGTCTCTCTTGGGGTGAGTGGGACAGATGGCAACAGAAGGATCTTGCAGAGACATGGCGAATGCAGCCGTGACTGTCCCCTCGCCTGGCCTCCACCCCGCCCTCTGACCCCTGACTCCTTCTGCACAGGATGCGGCGGTATGCAGATGCCATCTTCACCAACAGCTACCGGAAGGTGCTGGGCCAGCTGTCCGCCCGCAAGCTGCTCCAAGACATCATGAGCAGGCAGCAGGGGTAAGCAGGAGTTCTAGTGACTTCTTCCCACACTCTGCAGCAGAGTCTCCAGGATCTTGTTCCCTGCAGGAGACCAGGGACCAAGTCAGATCTCTTCCTTGGCACAGCAAGTGTCATTTCTGGACTTCCCATAGCAAAAGGGTTCCAGCGTTAAACCTCAGCTTACCTCCACACCTACCATGTGCCTCTTCCGGCTAGGCTCTGACAGTAACCACACTGGTGGTAGTTACCATTTAATCATGACTCCATGCCAAAAACAAAGGCTCTGCCCTGGGACATTTACAGACACTTGGCACAGTGCTGGGCACACAGGATGCCCTTGGTAGTGTCAGCTACTATTATTCTTAGTTTCTTGCTTTCTTTTTTTTAGAGACAGGGTCTCATTCTGTTGCCCAGGCTGGAGTGCAGTGGAATGATCATGCCTCATTGTAAACTCAAATGCCTGGACTCAAATGATCCTCCCATCTTAGCCTCCCAAGTAGCTGGGACTACCAGTATGCACCACCACAACCGACAATTTTATTTTTTGTAGAGATGGCGTCTCACTATGTTGTCCAGGCTGGTCTCGAACTCCTGGCCTCAAGCGATCCTCCCACCTTGGCCTCCCAAAGCATTGGGATTACAGTTGTAAGCCACCTTGCCCAGCTTTTAGTTTCTTCTTTAATCTTCATAACAACCCTTATCCCCATTATACAGGGGTAATAGCTTTTTTTTTTTTTTTTTGAGACGGAGTCTCGCTCTGTCCCTGAGGCTGGAGTGCAGTGGCACAATCTCAGCTCACTGCAAGCTCTGTCTCCCGGGTTCACACCATTCTCCTGCCTCAGCCTCCCGAGTAGCTGGGACTACAGGTGCCCGCCACCACACCTGGCTAATTTTTGTATATTTTAGTAGAGACAAGGTTTCACCATGTTAACCAGGACAGTCTCGATCTCCTGACCTCGTGATCTGCCCGCCTCAGCCTCCCAACGTGCTGGGATTACAGGCATGAGCCACTGTGTCTGGGCCCAGGGTTAATAGCTCTTAAAGGACACACAAAGAGTGGCAGAGTTTGGAGCAAAACTGCCTGACTCTATAGCCTGTATGTTTTTTAGTTTTTACTTTGAAAAAAATCTCAAACTTACAAAAAAGTTGCAACAAAAGCACAATGGACTTCCATATACCCTTCCAATTCCTAACATTTTATCACATTTGCTTACTCTATATCTATAGCTAGATATAGATACATACCACAGAAACACATATGCACATTAAGTGTTGTTATCATTTTTGCTGAACCATTTGAGAGTAAATTGCAGTCATCATGACCCTCTACCTTTAGGTACTTCTGTATGTGTCTCCTAATACCTAACCAAAGGACATTTCCTTACATAATCATAATATAATTGTCAGTTATAATCCATTTTCAAATTTTACCAGTTGTCCCAAAATGTTCTTTATGACAATTATTTCTTTTTCTGATCTGGGACCCAATCTGGGATCATGGATACCATTTAGTTGTCATGTCTCTTCAGTTTCTTTTAATCTGGAATTGTTCCTCGGTCTTTCATGACATTGACAGTTTTGATTACTAAAGGCTAATGATTTATAGAATGTCTCTCATGTTGAATTTGCCAGACATATCCCCATGATTAGAGGATGCATTCCTCTAATGATGATTAGAGGAATCAGGTGATGCACTCACAGAAGTAATGTTGTGTCCTTCTCAGTGCCTGGTATCAGGAGGCACAGGATGGCAACTTGTGCCATTATTGGTGGATTATTGGTAGATGGTAACTTCGATCAGTTGGTTAACATGGTGTCTGCCAGGTTTCTCCTCTATAAAGTTATTTTTCCCTCTATAATTAATAATCTGTGGGGAGACGTTTTGCAACTGTATACATTTGTACTACTGTACTCTTCACTACTATATATACTGCCTCCCTAAGTGTGGCTGAATCTAATTCAGTTGGGTAGAAGAGTCCACACCAGATATTGAAATAGGCGTAGGGATATACCTCTGCCTCTCCACATCCTACCCAAATAGCAACTAGTTCTCTTTTTCTAACCACACAGAGAGAGAAACCAAGAGCGAGGAGCAAGGGCACGGCTTGGCCGTCAGGTGGACAGCGTGTGGGCAGAACAAAAGCAAATGGAATTGGAGAGCATCCTGGTGGCCCTGCTGCAGAAGCACAGGTATGGGTGTGTGTGCATGTGTGCTTCTAGGGACTTCAGGGCTTCCTACTCCATGGTTTGCTGGGAAAAGGAAAAAATCCACTCCTCTCTGAAGGTATGGGGCTCTGCCAAACAAACCAAGAACAAGGACCCTCCTGACAGACATTAAGAACTAGGAGAATGGCTGGGCATGGTGGCTCATGCCTGTAATCCCAGCACTTTGTGAGGCTGAGGTGGGTGGATCATCTGAGGTCAGGAGATCGACACCAACCTGGCCAACATGGCGAAACCCTGTCTTTACTAAAAATACAAAAATTAGCCAGGCGTAGTGGCTCACGCCTGTAATCCCAGCCACTTGGGAGGCTGAGGCAGGAGAATCGCTTGAAGCTGGGAGGCGGAGGTGTCAGTGAGCTGAGATGGCGCCATTGCACTCCAGCCTGGGCAACAGAGTAAGACTCTGTCTAAAAAAAAAAAAAAAGGCCGGGCACAGTGGCTCAAGCCTGTAATCCCAGCACTTTGGGAGGCCGAGACGGGCGGATCACGAGGTCAGGAGATCGAGACCATGCTGGCTAACACGGTGAAACCCTGTCTCTACTAAAAAATACAAAAAACTAGCCGGGCGAGGTGGCGGGCGCCTGTAGTCCCAGCTTCTCAGGAGGCTGAGGCAGGAGAATGGCGTGAACCCGGGAGGCGGAGCCTGCAGTGAGCTGAGATCCGGCCACTGCACTCCAGCCTGGGCGACAGAGCGAGACTCCGTCTCAAAAAAAAAAAAAAAAAAAAAAAGAACTAGGAAAGTGCCTGGGTGCGGTGGCTCATGCCTGTAATCCCAGCACTTTGGGAGGCTGATGGGGAAGAACCACTTGAGGCCAGGAGTTTGAGACCAGCTTGCCCAATATAGTGAGATCTCGTCTCAATCAATCAATCAATACTAGGAGAGTTCTTTAGACATGACGGGTGGGAAGTGTCTGATGGAGACCGCATCTTATCCACGGCTGTATCCCAGTGCGGAGCCAGAGGCCAGGCTCAGTGTCCATGCCCAAAAATGTTACTCACTGAATGGTTCCGGGATACGACCCAGAAATCTGAATTTTAACAGGTGTCCCCAAGGATTTGGCTGCAGGTGAACTGACAGGCATGCTCTGGATCCCTTGCCAAGTTCAAAAAACTATAAAGCCAAAGACAGACCAGCCCTCCCACACACTGTGGTAGATGAGTGTGCACAGACACACGATCAGCAGACGAGAGACGTGATGACTGTCATTCCCCAGCTCACTGGCCCTCATGTTTCTCCTGGGAGTCAGGGGAGATCGGAAATGAGTTACCTCATTTTACAGAGGAGGAAAAGTGAGGCAAAGAGGGGGTGGCAGCTGGCCCCAAATCAGGGACTGGCAGGCCCAAGACCTGTTCTTTGCACAAAGCCCCACTTCATGGGCAAAGTTTCCCAAAAATGTCTTGGCTGTTTGGAGAAACTCTGCTGGGGTTTAGAACCTGATTTTTTGTTGTTGTTGTTGTTGTTGGGATGCAGTTTCACTCTCATCACCCGGGCTGGAGTGCAGTAGCGTGATCTCAACTCACTACAACCTCCGCCTCCAGGGTTCAAGTGATTCTCAGCCTCCCGAGTAGCTGGGATTGGGTGCCTGCCACCATGCCCAGTTGATTTTTGTACTTTTAGTAGTGAACTCCTGACCTCAGGTGATCCGCCCTCCTCAGCCTCCCTAAGTGCTGGGATTACAGGCACCCGCCACCACACCCGGCTAACTTTTTGTACTTTTAGTAGAGATGGGGTTTCATCATGCTGGCCAGGCTGGTCTCGAACTCCTGACCTCAGGTGATCCACCTGCCTTGGCCTCCCAAAGTGCTGGGATTACAGGTGTGAGCCACCACAGCCGGCCTAGAGCCTGATTGAACTGCGAGCACAAGCAGGTCCCAGTGTGGCTCTGCTGGGCACTTCTGGTCCAATCTATTAAGCAAATCCAGTTCCCAGCAGAGCTCTCCGTGGCCTCTCTCCCCTTCTTCCCAACCCGATTAGACACCACCAGCCCAGAGATTTCACCATCTACAAGCAGCACCAGGCCTACGGCAGATGACAGGAGGGGCGACAACCAGGCTGGGAGGCGGGAAGAACGCCTGGACCCCAGGCCTGGTTCCGCAACTAGCGGCACAGCAACACGCTTCTTAGTTTCGACTCTGTGAAAGGAGGGGTTAGCTCTTACCATCTCTAGGGTCCGCAAGACTAGAGTTCAAAAATAATGTCTCTAAGAAGAATGCCTCCTCTGTGCCTTGCAGGCTGGGATTAGGTAATTGTTCACCTGCTATGGCTCTCATCAGGCCCCGGTAGGGTGGATGGCTCCAGGGAGGGCTAATCCTAAGAATGCAGGCTTTGTTCCTGCCAGTTAAAAGCCAGAGGCTTCACAGAGATTGAAGTCATAGAGCCCGCAGAGCTGGCAGGAAGGGTCCCGAAGGCTGCTACAGCCATTGTTCCCCCTCCAGCTGGACTGCTGCAAATACCAGGATATCACTGGTGAGCAGGAATAAGTTCCTGCTTTAGAGTGCAGAGGAGAGCCATGTGACAGATGGCTCACTTTTGCACCCATCATACATTGTGTCCATGTAACGGCCCTGTAAGGAAACTGAGGCTCGGGTTTAGCCATCCTCCCACCCCTGTAAAGACCATCCAGTGACTGTGACATGCCACGCTCTGGACCGGAGGCATAGCAGGGTACAGGACGGCAGCGACCCCTGCTTTCACGGAATTCATAATGCACCGAGGCAGCAAGGAACTAGATAACATTCTCGTGCAGTCAATTACTTCATTGTGATGAGTGGGAAGAGACGCTGGGAAGTGGTGACAGTGAGGCTGGGAGAACGCTGAGCCTGTCTGGGGATTAGAGGCAGCTTCTTCAAGGGGAAGTGACTGGCCCAGGGTCTTGGTGGGAGTTGGCTGGCAGAGCAGAGAGCAGGGGCTAAGCCTGGGACTGACCTCGCTGGCACGCTTGCACATCCTTCCCTCCACCCCACACAGCCTCTTTTGGAATCCGAAAGGCCAGCTCCTGCCATGGGAGCACCCATAGCCCTGGTTCCATGCATCCCACTCTAGTCACCCTCACTTCAATTCCCCGGATTGAGCTTGATCTTTCTTTCTGTAGCAGGAACTCCCAGGGATGAAGATTCCTCCTGTGACCTGGGCTACCTGTAGCCAAAACGCAACTGGATCCAGTTAATCCTCTTTCATTTCTGACCCACTTTTTCCTTTGTAAATACAATAAAATCCCCCATATCGGTGTGCATTTAAATGTTCTTTTCTCTTCGGCCTTATTTTTTCTGTGTTTTATATAGTTACATTTCCCAAAGTGGTATTACAAGGTATAACTTTGTTCAAAGCTAACATTTACCAAGCACGCAGAGTGCAAAGCAGGCAGCTTTGTGCATAGAACCTCATATGCTCCTTACACAGGCTGATGGAGGGTATTGGCATCCTCCTCCTTTCTTTTTTTTTTTTTTTTGAGACGGAGTCTCGCTCTGTAGCCCAGGCTGGAGTGCAGTGGCTGGATCTCAGCTCACTGCAAGCTCCGCCTCCGGGTTCACGCCATTCTCCGGCTCAGCCTCCGAGTAGCTGGGACTACAGGCGCCTGCACCTCGCCGGCTAGTTTTTTGTATTTCTTAGTAGAACGGGGTTTCACCGTGTTAGCCAGATGGTCTCGATCTCCTGACCTCGTGATCCGCCCGTCTTGGCCTCCCAAAGTGCTGGGATTACAGGCTTGACCACCGCGCCCGGCCCATCCTCCTCCTTTCACAGACAAAGAACTGAGGCACAGAAAGTGGAACCCAATTGCCCACAGTCACACCTGGCAAATGAGAAAGCTGAGATTCAAATCCAGGCAAGTCCAACCCAGAACCAGCTCTTAACCACATTCAACTAACTTCGATCACAGTCATCCTTCACCCACGTGTGACTTGCTCTTCTATAAACAACACCATTTAGTCATTCAACAAACTTTTTTTTTTTTTTTTGAGATGGAGTTTCACTCTTGTTGCCCAGGCTGGAGTGCAATGGCATGATCTCGGCTCACTGCAACCTCTGCCTCCTGGGTTCAGGCGATTCTCCTGCCTCAGCCTCCCGAGTAGCTGGGATTACAGGCATGTGCCACCACGCCCAGCTAATTTTGTATTTTCAGTAGAGATGGGATTTCTGCATGTTGGTCAGGCTGGTCTCAAACTCCCAACCTCAGGTGATCTGCCCGCCTCGGCCTCCCAAAGTGTTGGGATTACAGGCATGAGCCACCGCACCCGGCCTTCATTCAGCAAACATTTATAGAACACCCACTCTGTGCCAGGTACTGTCTGGGCACTGGAGAGATAGTCATGAACAAGGTCCCTGACCTTATAGAGCTTATATTCCAATGTGTGTGTGGTGGGGAAGAGAATAATAAACACAAGTCAATATAGAATATGTCAGATGTTGGCAAGCGCAAAGGATAAAGCTTTAAAGGGCCAGGGAGTGCTGGGGGTATAATTTGATCTACACTGTGTATATGTGAAGGCCTCACTGATGTGACATTTGAGTAAAGACCTGAGGAAGAGAGGGAATTGGCTTTGTAAATATCAGAGTAAAGAACATTCCAGGCAGAGTGAAAACTCAACAAAGGCTTAGAGGCAGGAGTGTGGAAGGACTAGCAAGGGGGTCAATGTGGCTACCTGGGCCAGAGCAAGGATGTCAGTGGAGAGAAAAAAGTCCTGGAGGAGCAGGAGGCCAGCTCATGGGGACACTTAGAAGTGTTAAAAAACAAAACAAAACAAAAAAAGTAACAAATTGAGTCTTTTGGTTTTTTGTTTTGTTTTGTTTTGAGATGGAGTCTCACTCTGTCGCCCAGGCTGGAGTGCTCTGGCACGATCTCGGCTCACTGCAACCTCCACCACCAGGGTTCAAGTGATTCTCCTGCCTCAGCTTCCCAAGTAGCTGGGATTACAGGTGTGAGCCACCACCCCCGACCCAAATAGAGTTTTAAAGATTGAATTGGCGTTTGTGAGCAGTTCATGAACTGGGCAGCATCCCGCGGGGGGCTCTGACAAGCTGAGTGGGAGTGAGCCTTACAGGCAAAAAGGGGCTGAAGCAGAAACAGGACATGAAAAGCAGACTGGTCATTTCAAAGTTACCTTCCTTCTGGGGTTAAAGCAGAGGGGACTTCCTGATTATGCAAGCTAAGGTAGACTGGGCCCCTTCTTTTTTTTTTTTTTTTTTTTTTGAGACGGAGTCTCGCTCTGTCCCCCAGGCTGGAGTGTGGTGGTGTGATCTAAGTTCACTGCAACCTCCCCGTTCCAGGTTCAAGCGATTCTACTTCAGCCTCCCAAGTAGCTGGGATTATAGACGCCTGCCACCAAGCCTGGCTAATTTTTGTATTTTTAGTAGAGACAGGGTTTCACCACATTGGCCAGCCTGGTCTCGAACTCCTGACCTCAGGCGATCCACCTGCCTCAGCCTCCCAAAGTGCTGGGATTACAGGCATGAGCCACTGTGCCTGGCCCAACTGGACCCCTTCTGATTGGCTGCTGTGAATTTCATATTTTGGAAAACTGGACCATTTAATGTTCTGTTTGATGATATGGCACTTAGCAGGTCATGAGTGACTCTATTCTGGTTGGGTCTGGTTTGTTGGGGCCCACCTAGTGCAAGAGCTCAGTTCGAAACAGCGGCCTCCCATAAATGTTCGTTAACAAGGTCACAGTAAGGATTTGGATCCCACACTTGGTGAGACGAAAGCCATGGTGGAGTTTAAGCAGAAGAATGATATGCTGTGACCTATGTTGAAAATCACTCTAAGAAATGGTCAAACTCTAGATACATTCTTAGGGCAGAAGCCATTTGCTGATACACAGGGTGTAGGGATTGGAGAGAAGTTAAGAATGACTCCCGTGTTTTTGGCCTGAGGATGGAGGGTGTGAGGATGGAGTTGCCACTTAGAAGCTTTGGGGGCTGGGGCAATATTAAGAGTTTAGGTTTGAACGTTGAGTGTGAGGTGCCTATGAAAGATGCAAGTGAGGAAGCTGAGTAGGCACATGGCTGTACAGGTCCTAGTTCAGGAGAGTCCCCTGAGTTCGGGGGAGAGGTCTGGACAGCTGGTTTGGTTTGGTAGTTGTCACCATTTAGACAGTCAGTCTTTAAAGTCAAAAGACTAGTTAGATTACTAAGGAAGAATGTGGGAAGAGTAGAGTCCAGGGATTGATCCCCCGGAAACCCTACATTTAAAGTTTAGAAGAGGGCCAGGCGCAGTGGCTCATGCCTGGAATCCCAGCATTTTGGGAGGCCAAGGCAGGTCGATCACTTGAGGCCAGGAGTTCAAGACCAGCCTGGCCAAAATGGCGAAACCCTATCTCTACTAAAAATACAAAAATTAGCTGGGCATGGTGGCGCACACTTGTAATCCCAGCTACTCAGGAGGCTGAGGCAGGAGAATCATTTGAACCTGGGAGGCAGAGGTTGCAGTGAGCCGTGATCGTACCACTGCACTCCAGTCTGGGCAACAGAGCAAGACTGTCTCAAAAAAAGAAAAAAAAAAAAGTTTTGAGGAAAGATGAGGAACCAGCAAAGGAGGCTGAGAAGTAGCAGACAGTGAAGTAACAGGAAAACCACTTCACAGAAGAATCCCAGAAGTCAAATGAAGGGTGTTTCTAGAAGAAAGGGGTGATCCGCTCTGCTAAATGCTGCTGATGGGACAAGTCGGTTGAGAACGGACCACGGAAGTGACCGTGGAAGCCACTGATGACCTCGGCAAAGAGAAATCGGGTGAAGTAGTGAAGGCCGAAATCTGGTTTGAGTGGGAGAAATGGGAGAAGAGGAACCAGAGCTGGTGAGTATAGACTTGGCTGTGCAATATGGTGGCCCCTAGACATACGTGGCTAATGAACACTTGAAATGTAGCTGGTACAATCTGAGATGTACTTTAAGTATAAAATAAACACTGGGGCGTGGTGGCTCATGCCTGCAATCCCAGCATTTTTGGGAGGCCCAGCGGGGAGGATCACTTGAGGATAGGAGTTCAAGACTAGCCTGGGCAACATAGCCAGACTCTGCCTCTACAAATACAAATTCAAAACAAATTGTCCAGGCGTGGTGACACACACCTGCAGTCCCAGCCACTTGGGAGGCTGAGGTGGGAGAACTGTTGAGCCCAGGAGTTTGAGGCTGCAGTGAACTATGACTGTACCACTGCACTCCAGCCTGGGCAACAGAGTGAGACTCTGTCTCTAAAAAAAAAAAAAAAAAAAAACGTAAAACAAAGCACCCCACAGGTTAAAGGTGCAAGTAAGGAATCACTCAGATTTAACATGAAAAAATACAAAATACCTCAATATTTTTATACTGATCACATATTAAAATGATATTTTAGATACACTGGGTTAAATTAAAGATATTAAAATTAATTTCACCTGTTTCTTTTTAACTTTTTTATCTTGGTTTCCAGAAAATGTAAAATCCCCTATGTAGCTCGCCTTGTATTTCTATTGGACAGCGCTGGTAGAGATGATTTTTTTGAGAAATTTTGCTATAAAGGGAAGCAGAGAACTGGAGCCACTGACCCGAGGCCCCTGCATCAGTGATTACCCAACTTTTGCTATTCATGAGCCATTTTATCGGGGCCAAATATTCCCACACATCACCTACCCTCTGCGTGCCTCTGATCAGAATCTATGAACTTTCTGGGGTGACTGAAATGTTCTATATTTCGATTTGAATGGTAGTTATACCAGTGTTGTTACATACAAAAATTCATTCAGTTGTTCACTTAGGATCTGTGCATTTTGCTGTGAGTAAATTAAACCTAAAAAAAAAACCCTGACAACTGTGAAAAGTCTGGATGATGGGATGTCTGTTTTGATTTAAAAAGTGCAAAAGAGGCCGGGCGCGGTGGCTCAAGCCTGTAATCCCAGCACTTTGGGAGGCCGAGACGGGCGGATCACGAGGTCAGGAGATCGAGACCATGCTGGCTAACACGGTGAAACCCCGTCTCTACTAAAAATACAAAAAAAAAAAAAAACTAGCCGGGCGAGGTGGCAGGCGCCTGTAGTCCCAGCTACTCCGGAGGCTGAGGCAGGAGAATGGCGTAAACCCGGGAGGCGGAGCTTGCAGTGAGCTGAGATCCGGCCACTGCACTCCAGCCCGGGCTACAGAGCAAGACTCCGTCTCAAAAAAAAAAAAAAAAAAAGTGCAAAAGAGGGGCCAGGCGCGGTGGCTCAAGTCTGTAATCCCAGTACTTTGGGAGGCCAAGGCGGGCGGATCATTTGAGGTCAGGAGTTCCAGA